GGGGGTTGACGGACACTGGCGGCTTCCACAGACAGGTCCGCCTGCAAACAGCAGCCTGCGGGGCGCGGGAGGCTTCAATTGTGGGAGCTGCTCTCTGCCCTCCGTGGGGGAAGGAGTCGGCTCCCTTCGTTCCCCTCCTCAACCCCAACTTCCCTCAGATAGGGAAAACACGAGCCAGGCACCGAGCTCCTGCACGCTGAGGTGAGACTTGTCACGCGCTGTTCCCGCGGATCACAAGCGCCCGCTGTGCTTTGGGGACCGGTTAAGTCCCCGTCGTCCCCCCAGCAGAACACTTCACCTCCGCTAAAGCCTCGTTGGCCAGGGGGCTCCAGGGGCTGGGTTGAAGCGGATGCTCCACGGGCTGGGCACTGGGGGTGGCGTTTCCTGGACAGTGCGTGCGCCTCACCTGGGGTTTTCCACGGGGAAGCTGGAGCCAGGCATTCCCCTGCACATATCTCCAGGGGTAGGTGCGTGCATGTGTAGACATTGATAAAAGAAGAAAACGCACTTGGTGTCTGGCTGGTCCACCAGCCGGTAATCAATTATCGATGGGCCCTGAACAGACTGCATCAGATCCTGCCCACAGGTACACGGGTGTTAGTGCAAAGTAGAGCTGCTCAAACTCTTTGTTGGGAGTAGTCTAGCAAATAAGTTTAGGCTTTTTTCTCTGTTCTTGAATTACCCACAACCAGGACCTGTTTTTCAACAAATTTGTTTCATTATTCACAATTGTTCAACTGATCGTTTCCGCAAGCAAATTTTAGCCTGTGATTCATTCTGAAGGTTGTATATTTGCTCCGTGGCAATAATTATTTGCATGTCTGATTGATCACTTAGGTGATATTGTTTCTGTTCTCTAATTGGACGATCGTTGGTTATAAAAGAAAAGTCCCCATTCACCACTTATATGTGAACATTCATGATTGATCAACGTATGTACTGTGCAAATAATAAAAAGTTTTTCAAAGTGGTTCAATTTCTGTTACAAATACACTAGTGAATATTTGTTCATTTTAGTGTTGATATTGCTGTCTGTAAATAGTCTTGCAAATAAAAACTTGCATAGGTAAATGTTCATGAAGAAGTGAAGAGAAAGAGTTGTACGTATCAATTAAGTGAATCAGGGAGTTTTAATTACAAACTCCACATACTCTTACTTGCCCAGTTCTATTCTGGAATTCTTCCACTAATGTCAGTCATGTTATTCCGGATTTACATCAGTTCATAAAAGGCAAAATCTGCTTTAACATTTCTTTTGAATGATGTAGATTAATATATACAATGCAGGGGTTCATTACAGGTATTCTTCAATTATGTGAACAATTTGATTAGGGTAAATGATTTCCCTCCCTATTTGCATCTCTTTTCTTTTGACCATTCTGCTGAAATGTGTTAAGGTGTTACTAATAAATGTTTTTCCTCTACTTAAAAGTGAGCATGGCATCCCACATCCTTAGTTCCATTTGCTGGTCGCCTTGAGATGTAGAGTCTTTGTGTAATAACACCCCTGGTATTATGAGTAGTCATATCATTTAACTTTTAATTCAAACTGTACTACAAATTAAGTCTTACCTATGATAGGTCCCTACTGTTTAGTATAGTAAGATTTTCACCACAATCTGATCCAGACATAGGATGTTGAACAAGAAGCAGTTATTGAGTAGGAATGGGCAAATTCCTCATGGACTTAGTGAACACTCTACTACTCTTATACTGCATACTTATTTTTTAATTAGACAACTGTTAGCTCAATTAACATGGTAAAGTTGCTTGTCTACTATCAAATGTGCTGTAATGAGTGTTCATTTCTCAGCTTAGACTGACATTTTTAAAGGGACCTAAATTAGTTAGGTGCCTGCCTTATAAATGAGAATTGGGCCCCTATCACTTAGGCACTTTTGAAAATTCCATCCCTATTCCCCAGTCAACACTGGTAGTGTCTTTGATCCAAGAGAGCAATGAATGGTTTTTGTGTTATTCGCTGCTATACTCTACCATCTGTTTATTCAGATCAGAGGAGAGACAAGGTTGGGAAGTAAATATCTTTTATTGGACCAACTTCTGTTGGTGAAAGAGACAAACTTTTGAGCTACACAGAACTCTTCTTCAGGTCCAGGAAAGGTATATATATAAATAAAATCTGTCTCCCTTTCCTACACACACGTCTTGAAATACAAGAAACTGAGATTAAGTACAGTGTTTTCAGCAGCTGGACATTATATAGATTGGATTTTGTAATGAGTAATTCTGTCACCATCATTTTTAAATTGCATGGTGTAAGACAGTTATTTCATAGATGATACAGGTGTGAAAACAGACAAAACTGAGCAGTGCTGGAAATCTACATCACAAATAAGTATTTATTCCAGGGAAGATGTGATTCCATCACTCTGCTGCATTGGGGGTCTCAGCCCAGATCCAGTGCATTGAGAGCCATATTTAAAATAACCACCCTTGTTATTAGGGTGACCAGATGTCCCGATTTTATAGGAACAGTCCCAATATTCAGGGCTTTCTCTTATATGGGGCTAGGTCTACACTTCGGGGGGGGGGGAGGGTTTGACCTAAGATACGCAACTTCAGCTACGCGAATATCTTAGGTCGACTTACGTGGCTGGGAGGACGGCGGCGAGTCGACCGCTGCCACTCCCCCGCCGACTCCGCTTCCGCCTCTCGCTGCGGTGGAGTTCCAGAGTCGACAGCAGAGCGATCGGGGATCAATTTTATCGCGTCTACACTAGACGCGATAAATCGATCCCCGATAGATCGAGCGCTACCCGCCGATCCAGTGGGTAGTGAAGACGTGCCCTAGGAGCCTATTACCATCCATCCCCATCCTGATTTTTCACACTTGCTTTCTGGTCACCCTATCTATATATACACTATATGGAGTACCTTGCTTTCGCAAATGTTTAAGAAGAAATGTGATTTCAGTTTCATATATTTTCTCTATTTCTAACCCATTAAGGTCATACTGGTCTGCCGAAAACCGAACATATAAAGATGTATTATTATAGTGGCTATTTAGAGACTAGCATTTGAATCAGTATTATGATTAATCAGAGCATTACATTTTAAAAATATATTTACAGTGAAGAATAAAGGTTTTTGGTAAAAGTTAAAAATTAGTTTGCAAAATTACAAGAAAAAAGTGCATTTGTTATTTAGAAATGTAACTAACAAAATTATGTCCCTAATATTCTCCAAAATCTACACTCATTCAGCACATAAGAAGATTTCCTGGTTTCTCTGCCACAGGGAATGAACAGCCATTGAGCGACAAGGTAAGGTGAGTGGCATGGAGCTGCTCTACTCACCGCTGGGTGGGCACCTCCTTTTGGCTGGGGATTAGTTCTGCCAGGCCAATGCTCCTTCCTGTGGTTGCACTCTGGGTCTTCCTATCTCTGGGCTCGACTACTCGACCACTTCATAGCATGGCCGTCTGGTCAGGTCACTGTAGTCCTCCCATTCCAGGTAAGGTGACCATATGTCCCAAAGGGAAAATGGGACACTGCGTGCCGCTAGCCCAAGCGCACCACTCCACCCCCCACGCGGGGCTGGTTGGAACCGCTTGTCCAAGCTCCCTCTCCCTCCCTGCATGGGACTGCCATTGCTGCTCATCTGAGCCCTGCTCGCCTCCAGTGCAAGGCTGGGGCTGACATCGCTGCTCAACTGATCCCTACCTACCGCCCAGGGCAGAGCTGACATCGCTGCTCCTCTCCCTCCCCCGGGCTTCCACACCCCACCTTTTTTGGCAGAAGTGGGCATTTCTCCTATTTGCTCTTGCCACACCAGGAGGAGTGGCAAGCACTTTGGAGGAGAGAATTAGAATTCAAATGGTCTTGACAACCTGGAGAAGTGGTCTGAAATAAATAGGATGAAATTCAACAAGGAGTAATGCGAAGTACCACACTTAAGAATAATCAGTTGCAGAAATTCAAAATGGGAAATGACTGCCTAGAAAGGAGTACCATAGAAAAGGATCTGGGGGTTATAGTGGATCACAAACTAAATATGAGTCATAATACTGTTGCAAAAAACAAACAAACAGACATAATTCTGGGAAGTATTAGCAGGAGTGTTGTAAGCAAGATTACAAGAAGTAATTCTTTCACTCTACTCAGCAATGATAAGACTTCAACTGGTGTATACTATCCAGTTCTGTGCACCACACTTCGGGAAAGATGTGGACGAATTGGAGAAAGTCCAGAGGAGAGCAACAAAAATTGTTAAAGGTCTAGACAACATTACCTATGAGGAAAGACTGAAAAGAAACCCGCAACAAACTAGGATAGTTTAGGCTGGAGAAAAGATGGCTGAAGGGGACATGATTACAGTTTTCAAGTAAATAAAAGGTTGTCATAAAGAAGGGTGATAAATTGTTCTCCTTAACAACTGAGGACAGGACAAGATGTAATGGGCTTAAATTGCAGCAAGGGAGATTTAGGTTACACATTAGGAAAAACTTCCTAGCTATAAGAGTGGTTAAACACTGTAACAGATTACCTACGGAAGTGTGGAATCTCCATTATTGGAAGTTTATAAGAACAGGTTAGACAAACCCCTGACAGGAATGGTCTAGATAATACTTAATCCTGCCTCAGTGCAGGGGACTGAATTAGATGACCTATTGAGGTCCCTTCCAGTCCTATATTTCTATAATTCAAATGAGATGTCACACACAGTAGAGGATACAAATCTTTATAATATCATCCACTTCCTTTCATACATAACTATGATGGTACTTAACAATGTAGACAATTAAATTATTAAGATTGAGTGAACATTCCTTAAGACAAATAGGAGTAGTTCACACCTCTCCCAGGTGTTGTTTCAGACTATCTGAAATCAGTTTAGGCTTGTTTCACAGTTGTTTGCTTGTAATCCTTTCTATCTTTATTCTTTATACTTTGTATCACTTAATTCTATGTCCTTTTGTTAAATAAATTTGTTTTACGATTATTGTAAACCAATTCAGTGCTATGATTGAAATAAGTGTTTGTCAGACCCTAGCTAATGAGCTGCAGCGTATTGTCTCTTTAAAGGAGCAGCATACTTCACTTCTGTGACTGTAGAGAGGCTGGACACTGCAGGGAGATGACCCTCGGGAACTCAGGAGTTGGGGTTCACTGTTTGTTACCGCAAAGGCAACATTTGGTTTGGCAGCATCCTGAAGAGTCTGCTGGCAAGGCAGACAAGCTGGTATATCATGGAGTTGTCACACAGCCAAGCAATAACAAAACTTCCATTTGCTGAGACAGGTAACACAGTAACTCACAATTCTGGGAATCTAAGTAGATTGTCCCATAGGCAGATCATCTGGGAGATTCAGGATTGGGAGGGTTTTGGGGTCACTGCAAAAAGTAACTGGGCAGTGGAAACCAGGATGTGACCTGCATGCTTATAGGCTGGCTGTTGATGTCAGGGCTGTGAACCACAGCAGCATAACATTTAAGGCACTCAGAGTTGCAGGGCTGGTGGTGACAACCCCTTATTGTCTGGGTTGAACCCAAAGTGTCACAGTAAGTCACTGCATTTCTCTTCATTCTGCAACCCCATCCTCCACAGGAATGGATGTAGAATCCTTATCATTACTCTACAATCGATGCTGCTAGGAAAGCACCTTTTTATAGGATCATGATGTAAAGAAACAACAAAAGAGTAGAGAGCAGCAAATACAGAGTGCTGGCAGGTGAGGGGAACAGTTTATGTCCACACTTTCTGACAGTACATTCATTCACTATGATGTAATCAAGCATAAAGGCGACTAAAATATTGTCTCCTCTACACTTCCTCCACCTATTCCAGTTTAACTGGCATATAGCACCCCCTTCTGGGTAATATGCAGTTTCTGTACCATCTCAAACAGCCAGATTAGGTGTCTACATTCACTCACATCCGTTTGCTGTTTATGTCCAGATTTGGCACAGCAGGTTACATTGTAATACTAATCTCTCAACAGCCTATACAGAAACATGATAGAGAATAAAAAAATTAGAGAGACCTGGCAACATGTATGATTTTCCCACAGTAGACACAGCTATAACTCCAGTGGGGCTGTCAGCAGTCTACTGTGGCTTTATAAGCGCATCCTTTGGCTTTATAAACTCCTTTTTTTCTGCTTCAGAGTGGTATCCGTGTTAGTGCGATGTTCTTCTTTCATGGCTGCATAACAATCGCTGGTTCACATTAGCAAATGATCTCTACCCACCCATAATGCATGCACCAGTACTGTCCACATCTTATTTATTCAGAAATGGCTTTTAGTTTTACCAAATATATAAATCACAAACAAGCAACAAACAAAACCTTGACAAAATCCTGGATGGCTACACCACTACACCCTCATAACTCCTCCTTAGTTAATTCAAGAACCTCTCACTTGCACATCTGTGTTTTCCTTTAGATAAGGGATACCTTCTTCTCATTTCACATGCAATTCTTCAGTTATGTCATTTTTATAAATGAGATAGATGCACATATGAAGCAATTCCTAACATGTCAACACACCTGTCTTTCAGAAGTGGGATTCAAGAGGTTTTCTACCTTCAAAGAAGCAGTCTCTTTGCATAAACTAAGGTAACTGTAATCCAGTTTTTAAAGACTTTGTACTCCAATATATTGAAGAAAAATGAAGTAGCAAATGTAGCTCAGATTCAACTGGTAATTTATAATTCCACATAATTTATGTAAATGTAACATTTGACCACATATTTCTAATGTTACGATATCACCAAATAATGTGTCAAATTATAATCCCGATTCCTACACCAAAAATACATGTCGGTTCAACAAACCACATTTGAAAACGTGCAGGAGTCCAATATGTTTTGTATGACTTAAATTGTTGAAATTTCAGCATAGTCTAGTATGAGGCCACCATGTCTTATTCACAGTATAATTTACCTCAAATGTCCATCTCTGTGAAATGCTCAAGTAGCATAGGAAAATCCAAGTAACTCAAAGTTTCAATAAAGAGAAAATTTTCAAAAATGCCTCAGTGACTTTAGATTCTAAATCCCATTTTCAAAAGTGACAGGCACTTAGGCAGTTATCTAGGTCACTTTTGACAATGGGAGCTAGGTTCTAAAGTCAGAGGCATTTTTGAAATGTTTTCTCTAGATGAAAACAGGATGCACGTTTTAATACTGAAATAGCTATAACGACATGGCTTGAGTGGTCTAGGCAAGTAAGAATTAAAATATGAAATGGAAAAATCTCAGTTGCTGATTGCTTTCCAGATTAACCCACTTTATATTTGGAAGCTTTGCCTTCACACCCCTTCAAATTCCCAGCAAACACTATTTGGCAATTCCCATAAAGGGACCCAAAGAGCAAAATTCTCCATTGCCCTGAACTCTGTGTAGTCATTTTCACTATTGCAAAGTGAGTGTAAAGTGGTTTTAAAGTCTTATCAAACCACAGTAGTACACATTTACACCCACTTTGCCATCACTTCATGTTGGTGTAAATAACTACATAAGGTGCAAGGTAATGAAAATTTTGGTCCTCAATTTTAGTTCCAGATGGAAGAAAGATAGGCTCATTCTGATAAAACATTGATTAGTTTACATGCTTTTACTCAAACAACTGTATTGTACATTAATATTGTCATTGACTCTCTGGAATACCAGGTTTCAGAGTAGCAGCCGTGTTAGTCTGTATCCGCAAAAAGAAGAACAGGAGTACTTGTGGCACCTTAGAGACTAACTAAAATTTGTTAGTCTCTAAGGTGCCACAAGTACTCCTGTTCTTTTTTCGGAATACCAGACACACTTTGCCTATTTTACATATGAATGTAGGAAGATGGGTCTGATCCAGACTGCCAATTCCCAAGATCCATCTAGCCCAGCATCCTGTCGATGACAGTGGCCAATACTACATGCTTCAGAGGAAAGTATAAAAGTCCCATAGTAAATTGATGCAGGATAAGCTGCCCTTCACATTAGGTATCATCCTAATTTCTAATAATTGGAGATAGTTTTAAACCCTGAAGTATGAGGTTTAATATCCCTTCCAAAAGATCTACGATCATTAATTTCAACCAGAAACTGAATCTGACCCAGTATCTGTGCTGCTTGTTAAACACAGAGGACCGAGAAAAGAGAATTCCAGACATGGCCAGTGAGAGGAATGGTGCCCCAAATTTTCCGGTGCCCTATGTAGCCGCGTATGCTGCATATGCCTAGGGATAGCCCTGAAAATATATATACATATTTGTTTATCCATTAGTACTTATGTCCCGATCCACGATGCCTTTACCACAGGTCATAAATGAAAGACATTCTGATGTACTGAAGCTGCATTTTCCTTCAGTCTCCATTTGGTCAAGATGACTTGAGTTACAGGGAACCTTACTTTCTGAAGTGTTTGGACATGCTATTTATTTCACTATATCAACTGATTTCTGTATGAGTGTTAACTGTACCCTAGCTGTAGTTTTAATGGAAAAGACTAGACTTGCATTTACATGATTAAAGTGATGAGGAATATATGACATTGATAAACATAATGAAACTGAAATACAGTATAAAAACTTAAACATGATCTCTAAGATACTGACAAGTTTAGATATTACATTAGATATGTAAAGTCCATTCATGCATGCCCAGCTTTCCCTTTTACAGGTCCCTGTGGGAAAAACTTATACAGATGAGGTGAAAAAGGTTTTTTCACTGAGAGAATCAGGTCACAAAAATGAGGGCCCAATGGCCTGTTGCTCTTGCCTGGAGCCAATCCCTCAGCTAATGTACTTACAACTCCGAACATGTTTTTATAGGACATTTTGTCCATTTGTGTAGATGTTCAATGTATTATTTTTGTTCAAATTACCAACTATATGTTGTTATAATTCTACAGCTGCAGCTACTACAATATATCATGTGGTTTCCATGACTCCAACTCAATTTTGATATATTCCTCTTCTTTGGCCACTAACCAATGAATCATCTCGGAAACCCTGGACCTGGTTGCCATGGACACGCTCTGACTGTGTAATGTTACATTTTAGTACTCAGGTGTCTACAGACTGGCAAGTTTATTCACTGGACCTTTGGGGCCTGATTTCTGATCACCTTCCTATTTGGTACCCTCATTTTATAGGTGAAAATAACCGCAGACACAAATTTTGCATGTGAAAATTGTGCCATGTAGTACCTAACTACCTGAGTTATGTGCCCAAACAGGTACTCTCCAAATAACATCAGTTTCCACCACAATAATTTAAGGCCATTTACAACCAAAAATCAGACACTTATAATATATTGTATAATATATTCCTAGCAAGGTCCTGCTCATATTCTCCCAACTATTCCACACTTGTTGAAAGTTTCTCCATTTTAATCTGCAGACCTAAAAACTCCCTTACTTGATAAGTATCTCTAAATTATTTTCCAGGGATTAGTGTCACATTCTAATGTCAATTGGCACATTATCACAACTAAACTCTTAATAGTATCCCTCCACTTTTATTGCTTTGCCTCTTTGCCATTGGGAACCCTAATCCATTGCAGGTCTCTTCTTAGATGAGAACTATATGAAATGCTACAGTATCTCTGGGGAGCTCTTTTGATGATGGCAGAATATGTGGTTTAGGTCCTTGATGCTTTTCAAGCGGTTTCTCTCATATCTACCTTCTCATCTTCTATACTTTCATATTGCTCTGATGTATTTTGGGGCCTTCAGACTGCACATGCCTGGGGCTTGGATCACTTGTCTTTCCTACATACTCACACCTCTCCACTCTTAGAAAGACCTCTGGCTCTAAGGACCACCTCAGAATCTGTCCCCTCTGCATTTGACTCTAACAATATCTACCTTTCTTCTGTTTTATCTTATAATGGTTATGCCTACCATAACATTCCACCATGCCCTGTGTTGTTGACAATGTTCCACAAAGTAGCAAATATTGGTGATATTCTGACTACTGAAATATTTCTCAATAAAGGTAATCATTCTAAATATATTCCACTTTTGCCCAAGATCTTTGGTCAACAGTGATGTTAAAATTCTTATTAAATTATTCATAGATAGGGTTATATCTACCCCAGATTGCTAATCTAAGTATAACACATGAGATCATTACATTTTCAGATAAACACTAAAAACAGGAAGTGGTTAAGACTCGGAAGGAATGTGAATGTTTAACAGCATCATAGATCCCTCAAAAAGATTGGAGGTGGAATATGAAATTCAACAGACTGACTTAGTTTTCTGACTAACTCACATTCAACTTTGGCCTACAGCACTGCTTCTATCACAGAAGAATTTAGCCCATTATAGTCCATATTTCAGAAGGAGACATTAAGACTATGGGACTGCTCGTGGCATTAGGCATTATGACTTCAGTGGGCATTATCAGTGCCCACTGAAGTCAATGGAAAAACTCCTAGACTTGAATTGAGATTGGCTCTATGCTTGGTAAGTGTTTGAAGGAGTGGGCCCTTATTTTGTACAAACTGTTCTACTGAATCAAATTTGGATTTACATCTGTTAAAGGTACAAAAGGTTTTAAAATATATATAGTACAAAGATGGCAGAGTAGCTATCAAACTGTTCCAAACATGGGAAATGCTCAGTGTAGGCTTAACTTTACTCCCCTTGAAGTCAATGGTTGTTTTATAATTTACTTCAGTGGGAGCACTGATAGGCCAACACTGAGCACTTTTGATTGTTTCACCCATCCCAGCCTCTTTCCCTACACAATTACTGCATAAAAAGGATGTAAGCCAATATTTAGATGAAACTGCTACTAGTCCAGAACAGATAACTGACTGACAACATGTGGCATCCCTTGTAGGGGGTTCCTCAGTATACAGAAATATCTATTGTCACAGAATCCCTCCATGTAAACAAAGCTTTTGATTATTTGGAATGCTAGAAAAATGTGGATGCTCATGGATATTCCTCCTCTTACTTGCTACTGAATATTTCAAGCCTACAGAGTCATTTACTGTAAATGGTTCTCTCTCTCTTACCTTTCAAATACACATTATACTTATTAAGGATACCCTGTTTCCTCTTTCTTGTGCCCTTTCTATTTAATTCCTATTGAAGTCATTAGCCCTACATTATCAGAAATATTCAGACAACTGGAGAGAGATCAGTAAACAAAACAAAAATGCTCAGGTAGCTTGAGAAAATGACTTATGAGTAAAGATTATAAGTGCTAAATATGTATCCTCTTACTAAGAGATGACTAGAAGGGAACATGGTAAGAGTCTACAGATATGTGATAGATGTCCATGCCAAGAATTGGGAACAAGCATTTAGTGTAGTACACTTATATATAACCACGTGTAATGAGATGAAAGAAAAAGAAAATTCAGGGTGGTCATCAGGAAAATCTTTCCTGATAGTATTTTATGTATTAGGTTGTAGAACAGTCTCCGAATGAAAGTAAAAGAAGCCCCTTCACTTGGGGCTTTTGAAACTAGACTGGACAAAACACCAGAGAATATATTTTAGGGAATGTTCCTGCATTTGTATAGTGATGGAGTAGATGATCTAAATAGCTTGTTCTATCTCTGACTTCTATGGCATAATACATCAGGGTATTGAGCTGTAATCTATTTGTATTACTTTTAGTATTTAATATCTGGCAATATATCCTTTGTTAATTAAGAGCTAATGTCTATTTAGAGAATGCAATATCTTGAATTTGTATGTCTGAAAACAAGTTGAGATTAAGAGCAATCAGTTGCAGTTACAAAGTCTCAGATCAAGTTATTTATAATCAATTGACCTTTGAATTTAAAATGTCTGGTACCTGTAAAATAAACTCCCCTAGTTAGAAAATAAAAAGAGTTGTCTATCCTTGTGACACACCTGCAGTTCCAATTCCAGTGCCTGAATTTTAGGAAAGGATAAATTATTAGTCACCCATTGCCAAAACAGGACACAAAGCAATATATTTTCCAGTCCCCACCTTTTTGCCAGATCCTTTAGACTTCTTGTAGTCTCAGTCTATCTGTGTCTAGAATCTTCCAGTTCCTCCTCAGCTCCAAACCCTGAATACTTTATACCATCTGAATGCTAAGAAGGGGACCTCAGCTGCAATCTGAGTAATTGTTTTGAAGTTCTCTTCCTAGTTTTCTGATTTCTTTCATTTTCAAATTGCACAGAAAATGCTGTTTCCAATCCTGCTTCCATTGAAGTCAATGGCAAAACTCCCATTGACTTCAATGGGTGAAGAAGTAGGCGTGGGATATAACTGGTTTATACTGAAGTTATACAAACTTGCTAAACAATCTGTTCCACCTTGTATTTAGCTGTGACACTCTGAGCTTCTTTCCCAGACCTGAAGAAAAACTCTGTGCACCTGGAATGCTTGTCTCTTTCACCAACAGTAGGTCCAATAAAAGATATTACCTCACCCACCTTGTTTCTCTAAACTTTTAAACAGTCAGATACAGAACTCAATTCCAAGACACTGAGATTAGCTATACAATCTGTCCCAGATATAACATGAAATTTACCAGAGATTACACTCACTAAATCAAAACATAACTGCAAATATATTTAGAATAAAAAACCCTTAGGTGAAGATAACATTGCTCCATAATATTAAATAATGGAGGCATTATTTAAAGAATTAACATAACTAACCTAGTATTTGAGGGAATGAATTTATGGTCCAAACTCATTCTTTTGAAAAAAATTGAAACTTCATTTATTCCAACAAATGTTTAAACTATGTTTAATTTTAACTCATTAGCTGCACTGAAGCTAATGAGGAGAAACAAGGGTGCCTTTAAATCTGCAATCTTGCCCCAGCAAGAAAGGCAGGGGCCCAAAACAACCTTCAGCACAAGCTAGAGAAGCCATGGGGCTGCTCTAATTTACTACAGTAAGAACAGTAAATATCCTCGGGACTCTTCTGCTACCCAGAGGTTGGAAGAGCAAATTGTTGTAATATATGGAGATATACCTATCTTAGAACTGGAAGGGACCTTGAAAGATCATTGAGTCTAGTCCAGTCCTCTGCCTTCACTAGTAGGACCAAGTTTGTTTGTTTTGCCCCAGATCCCTAAATGGCCCTCAAGGATTGAGCTCACAACCCTGGGTTTAACAGGCCAATGCTCAAACCACTGAGCTCTCTCTCCTCCTCCCCAATTGTTCTCTAATCTTCCCCCTCCAGTCTGTCACACTGTCTCCCTACCATAGAGTACCACCTTCTTGTGCCCCGTCAGCCTCACCACACCATCAAATATATCTTTCCCACAAGGTGGCCCCATCTTGGAGGAATCCTCTGCTGTCCCCATAGGACAACTTTAAGGTACTTTTGCTCCACTCCAAGAGTGCAATGTGACCTTAGTGGGACCTTACATCTGGTCTATTTTACTCCCTCTACCCCACCTTTCCTTCAGAAAATCTCATATGCAGTAAAAAGAACAGGAGTACTTGTGGCACCTTAGAGACTAACACATTTATTAGAGCATAAGCTTTCGTGGACTACAGCCCACTTCTTCGGATGCATATAGAGTGGAACATATATTGAGGAGATATATATACATACATACAGAGAGCATGAACAGGTGGGAGTTGTCTTACCAACTCTGAGAGGCCAATTAAGTAGGAGAAAAAAACTTTTGAAGTGATAATCAATATAGCCCAGTACAGACAGTTTGATAAGAAGTGTGAGAATACTTACAAGGGGAGATAGATTCAATGTTTGTAATGGCTCAGCCATTCCCAGTCCTTATTCAATCCTGAGTTGATTGTATCTAGTTTGCATATCAATTCCAGCTCAGCAGTCTCTCGGAGTGTGATACTACTAGAGCCCAGGGTGGGTAGGCACTTCAGAGAACACAGAGAGAGACAGGGTCCCTGACCTAAAGAGCCTACAATCTAGAAAAATTGCTAGGCCAGTTCATTCTCATCTAGCAGCAGGAGTAAGATCCAAGAGGGGAGTGATTCATTAAGCTCCTCATTAGCCTGATGAGCAACACATTTAAACCTGTATATCTTCAGACAATTTTATTCTCTCCACTTGTTTTTTATGCTGTACTCTTGAGTAAGGGAGCAGACAAATATGCAGCTTTAGACTTATTGATGCTCAATGTGCAGGACAATGCCAGTGCTTAAGCCTATTTGCATAGCCATGACTCAAACTTGTTTAAACAGATAAACAAAAACTAGGGCTCCATCATGCACAACTCAAAGACTTCTAGAATCAAAGCCATTCTTTTACAGTCATTGGAGTAAGGTTTTTCAGATAGGTTCTCAAGTAATGCTTGAAAGTGGGTCCCCAATGCCACAACAAATCCACAAGCTCCTCACCAAAAGAAATCTACAACTTTCCACCAACAAAACCAATTGTTTACATATTTCAAAAACACACTCATCTTCAAAAAACAAAATCCATCAATTTCCCCAAACACACATTCCCCAAACCAATCCCATACTGAGAAAAATAGAAGGGAGCATAAACTCTGACAAGTCAAATGTAAAAGTATAATTAGGCCTACCAAAAAAGAATTTGAAGAGCAACTAGCCAAAGACCCAAAAATTAATAGCAAAAAAAATTAAGTACATTAGAAGGTGCTTAAAAGGAGCACTCAAGGAAGATAAGGCCATTGCTAAATAAATTCTTTGCATAAGTCTTCACTGCAGAGGAGGTGAGAGATTCCCACACATGAGCCATTATTTTTAGGTGACAAATCTGAGGAATGTCCCAGACTGATGTGTCAATACAGGAGGCTTTGGAACAAATTGATAAACAGTAATAAGTCTCCAGGACCAGAAGGGTATTCACCCAAGAGTTCTGAAGGAACTCAAATATGAAATTGAAGAACTACTGATTGTGGTATGTAACCTATCATTTAAATAAGCTTCTGTACCAGAAGGCTGGAGGATAGCTAATGTGACACCAATTAAAAAAAAAAAGGCTCCAGAGGTGATTCTGACAATTACAGGCAGGTAAGCCTAACTTCAGTAACAGGCAACATTTCTTTACTATAGTTTCAACCACAGAATTATCAGACACATAAATGAACATGATTTGTTGGGGAAGAGTCAACACAGCTTTTGGAAAGGGAAATCATACCTATCCAATTAGAATTCTTTGAGTGGGTCAACAAACATGTGGACAAGGGTGATCCAGTGGACATAGTGTATGTAGACTTGATAGTCTTGGTGCAGAGGGAGGTGGGGGGGGAGGGGAATCTTGCTCCTCCTTGCTGATTGATATAAAACATACATGACATGTTGTCCATCATTACTTTTATATGTTTGCCCCTGATTATTGGTAAGAACTGGGGACAGGCGTATCTGACTGGCCTGAGTTGTAGGAGATTAATGCATAGTGTGGTCTCTTGTGATGTCCACTTACCCTGGGCTGCATGAACATCTAGATGTGCTCCCTATCCTACCAGAGAGGATTCCGTTATGACGACTGTTGGGAAAGGATGTGCACATGGTGGAAAGACCATCATAA